TGGGGGGGGGTAAGTCTTTTACGGCGCTCGCAACTGAATAAGGTCATATGAGCACGTTTGAGTTTGAGTAAAGAGCAGAACATCGACACAATAATGGCCATTTACTTAGTGTTGGGAAACAAGTAAAACAGGCAGACAAAAAAACAGAGGGAAAGTAAAGAAGTAGGACCTACTAGTAGCACCCTCCAACCACCCTCTGAAAAAATCTGCATATATAACAAAGGTATGCTCATTTTTGCTACATTGTCCCCATATATGGTGCTGAGACCAGGACTTAAAAACAGGAAAGAAGAAAACAAAATAAAGCTGCTTTTGAGATGTGGTGCTACCGCAGAATGGCCAAAATTAGCTGGAAAGCAAACAAAAAAGCAGCAGCAACAACAACAACAACAACAACAACAACAACAACAACAACAACAACGACGACGACGACAACAACAACAACAACAACAAATGTGTTGAGCCAGATTCTCCACACAAGACAAACCCTGCAGAATAAAATAATAAAGTAGAGAAATACAATACTTTGGCCACTTAAAACGACACGAGACTATCGTGAAAGAGGTGCTTGAAGGAAGGATGTGAGGCAGAGAGCCAGGGAAAGAGAGAGCGTAACATGGACGGACAATTTAAGAACATGAACTGGCCTGGGTATAGCAGAATATGCAACAGCAGCTCGTGGCCGTTAAGGATGGAAGGTTTCTACAGGTCAACCTCTGAGTCAGAGGTGACACCTCTAGTGGCCCGAGTGGCTCCCTTTTAAAGTGCCACCAAAACAGGCTCGTCTTCAATAGTTGTCAAATGACCAGAATGCGCGTCATCACATAGATAATTTTGGAGCTATAGCTTCGTTACAAATTATACCGCTTTAAAAGGAAGGGGCGATTAACCCGTACCATACAATACCAAACCACGTTATACCATACAATACCAAACCACGTTATACCATACAATACCACACTATAGAACTACAAGATGACAAATCAAGGAGGTAACACCTCTGCATTTACGACAGCCAGCATAATCATTATTGCTGAATAGTTGGATGG